CAATTAATGCGACTTGACAGCACATTTATGACGATGTGAGTGGCTCAGACAAGGTTATTAATGAGCGCCTGCATCCTCAAAGACCTAAGCCTACAGTCATGATTGCTTCGCATTAATGACTATTACGCCGAGTATTTTGCCTCGATGTACCCCGAGGTACTGTTTCTCGAGCATTAAACGCTCAGGGATAGATGTCATGCGCCGACCATAGGTGCTTGGGTTTCTCGAGGATGGCAATAACTGCTCGGCGTGGCCCCGAGCACTGGTCCTATCATCCAAGCATTAAAGGTGTGGAGATCTGAGTAGAGAACACTCATTGTACATGGGTAAGAGTGTCTGACATTAAATGTTAAGATGAGACTTAAAGCCTTTGCACTCATTGCTATTTCAGGTATAAATACTCCTCAGAAAAATGAACAAAAGTACGCAACATTAAATCAAGAGAGATTATATATTGCGCTCAAGCTTCCAATCTTATACTGACTTAAACTTCGGAGGGATAAGCTGGGTGTTCACCCGGCCCAGTTTTCTGATCCCGTGGTTGTTGTAAGTTTACCAGACAGAAGATCGCTATTTCAATCTGTTACAGGAAATCTCCCATGCAAAGACCATATAAGAAACCCGGCAGGGAGTCACGATTGAGGAGCTATGAAGCTTAGCTAAAAGCCCAACCATTCAGAAGGTAGAAGTTTTTTTTTTGGTTGGAGGGTGGAAGTTTTTTATCGCAATTACCATCCAGAACAGTAAGAATAATTTCAATACTTCACAAACTAAACACATGAGCAAACTATAGCCCTGGTCAGACCATTTCGCTGAAAGCCTCCCTGGGCTATCTTTTACAGATGAAGAATATTTGATTCCACAAAAGTGGATAATTTTTCAGTAGTCTGGTGAGCATTACCTTTGACATCCATTCAGTCACTTCTTTGACTCCACGGTGCTGAGATAGAGCAACAACATATATCTCCATCCTGTTGCAGGTACTAAGAACAGCAGCTTCTTCTATATGGTTTAAACTGCAAAGCTCCCCAATAGCTCGTGGCCATTCTGCTTCAGGAATGGCAAGTTTTTCACGCATTTCAACAGGTGTAGTGTGCACACTAAGCCCAATGACTACAATGCTGCTCCTTTCCTTAGTATACCCTGATGTCATCAAATACAAACCTTAGAAAAAAAACTGGGAAGATTTCACATGTGTATGCATAAATTTAATGTCATGCTACCAAGTTAAATAACAACAAATCCTGAAAAAGTAATACCTAAACCAAATTATCTCATATTAATTAGTCAAAGGACACATGTATCACATGTGAGACATATAGAAAGATTCCCAGAGATAGGAAAATTCCAGAGTTCACAGCGATTTTTCACACCAAATAAGGCACCATGTCATAAACATGTTGATGTAAGCAACCACCTAGCATAGAACGTAATATCTACATGACAGAGCAGTATTAGATTTTAGGCCATAACTGTGCTGGATCATTGTTCAAGGAATTAACCGATTGCAAAATCACAGAGCACTCGCGATCTAATTAAGAAACCAATCACATTGCTTTGCTCCTTATTTTCTTCTAATAGTCCCTTCAAACCAAAAATATCCCAATCTTTTTGCTGTTGTATTAACAGAAATCATCAACAATCAGATGATGAACTGAACCAGTCAACGCTTGAGCAAAAAATAGCGTAAAATGAAGTGTTTAAAGCACAAAAGAATAAGAACGAACTAAATTCAAATCGCATTGCAAATTCCAAAGTAAGTCACACACAAAACCCGTTATTAGAATCAAATAGAAGTTTACCCAGTGAAATCGAAACAACTAGTTCAATATGTAAGAGAAAAAAAAACAAAATTTGGGCCATACTGTCAGCTGCAGATGTCTTGAGCAGTTCGAGAGCAGAGAGACTGGAAGATCTAGAAGAGGAAGAAGAAGCCGAATTGGAATTGTCAGTGGTCTGAACCAAGACATCCGACGCAGCAATCTCGCACCTGATCGCAGGGTTTGACGATGAACCCCAACCATTTTTCTTAACCAGGCTGTTTCTTCTGGTTCGAGCTGGTTTGCAGAAAACCCAAATATGATTCGGCGTAGATAACGACGATGATGAGGCGGTCGCTGCGCTGCTGCTGATGAGAAGAGTCTCGAAATTGACCCCTGCAAACCCGCTCGAAACAGCCATTTTTCAGGCACGAGAAAACAATTCAGGTGACAATGCCCAAACTCCAACCCTAGAATTTTGGAGAGGGAAAGAGAGAGGAGGAGGAGAGGCCTATGAGAGCTTGTGGTGATGGTGTTCGAGGAGGAGGTGGGGTTGGTGTGGGAAAGTATTGACCGGGTGATGGGTTGGGGCCAAAGATATATGGGGGTGGAGGGAGCTTTAGATTTCTTTGAGTTCTGATTGGCTTCTGGTATCCACGTTTTATCCACACTCTCCCCCAACTTGGGTGTTGGAGATTGGATGCCTCAAACATTTTTCCTTTTCTATTGGAAAAAAGGGTCGGGTAAATGGAAAAAATCCGGTAACCACCTCCAATAGGTTCTCATTTATGGGATCACGAGGTTTTTTTGATCGTATTTGTTATTTTTTTTTTTGAGTACGAACTTAATAAGATTAATAAAACGGTCAACTATCTAGTAAAACGGTCAACAATCGAGTACTAATATGACTCTAAAACTTAAACCTCCAACTTTAAAATGACAAATTAGCCTAATACACCACTATAAAATAATAATCTCATTTAACACGATGAAATTCAAATTCATAATTTTTTGGGTCTAATAATAAGGATTGTGATTATTAAGTCAATCATTAATCTCAACATCTAGGTTAAGTATCGAAAATTAAATTTTTAATGTCGTAATTTTAATTTTTATTCAATAAAATATATAATTTTTATTTTTTTAATCTTATAATAAATATCTAAAAAAATTAAATAACATCGACCTTAGATTAAATTTGATGCGGTAATTAATTTTTTCTTTTTTTTGGGATATTGTAAACTTAGGTGGAAAAATGATTATTGACGATTTTTAAACTTAATCTATTATTTGACAGGTAGGCCTATCAATGGATCCAATTTTGATTTGAACTCAATTAGTTAGATATGGATTGATTATTTTTTATCGATTATTCAAATTAGAATTCGAATATGAAATCTTATATTTCACGGATTTAGATTTGACACACACACACACACACACACATATATATATATATATATATATCCGATCTGATTATGATCCGATCCAAAATCTTATTAATTTGTGTATAAATAGCAAAGAAATTAAGTACTTATTTGAATAAATTTAGTTAAAATTTAGATATAATTTGTTAAATTAAGTTATTTAGATCGAATCGAATTTCGAATTGTTAACAGATTCGAATATGAACCATAAAAATAAAATCTGTCGAATTATCAGTTCAAATTCCTATCGGATTTCAAAGTCAAATTTGGGCTCATTAAATGTGGTTTACAATTTGAATATACAAAATGGGAATAATACTTTCTACTACTAATTTAGCAATGACAATAAGTAATCTTTTTATATTAAATTCTTATAATATTGCTCTATTTATAAATAAATAAAGAATATTTCCACACACGACATTACACAACTGGAAGACAATTTAGATTAACCCAATCCAACAAAGCATAACGACATGATAAGATCCAAACCCCAACTAAAATCAGAGGAGAGTATCAGAGACATTGTCTCTTATGGCCTGCCTACATAATCCTATTAATTTAGTTGGGTTAGGTATCATCTAGCTTTTATCCAATGAAAGCTAAGAGTCTTGATGCTTCACATTGGCTCTATTCTTTGAAAGATTAAAACATTTTTTTGTTATCAAGTCCGTCCAAGTCCCCCACCACCACGGAGTAGAGTGGTCTAGTGGTGGTACCGGCTTTACTCTTCATCTAGAAGTTGAAAGTTTGAATTTTAGAGTTTTCATTAGGGTTCGATGATTAATCGCTACGATAATTTATACTTTGAAAAATTATAAATTAAGAACCATGAGGTGTCCCACACGCTGGTTCTCAGTACACCCCTCGTGTATGATACAACAAAATCTCAGCGTAGAGATATTTGAAGAAAGTGCAAGATCATAATTATGAGAAGATGATAGGTACAGATTTAAGGAAGAGATAAGATGGGGAGAGAGGAGCCGAGACTACTTGTGATGGAGATTGATTGCTTGGATTTCAGGGTCTTCATCTGCCACAACTTTAAAGTGACAGCACTCGTGGAGAAGATTGGTACTCACATTTTCAGATATGGGCCACCTGGCCAGGATCAGCAATGTCGGGCATTGTGTTTAGATTATGTAACCTTTAAACCATGATAAGGTTGATTTGATTAATGTTCGATTTATTTACACGTGTGTAGGCGGGTGGAAGTCTTGTATAGCTTGATCTATTATTAAATGAGTTGGACAGACCAATCTGATTATAACACGAAGATGTTAAGATTAAATTTGCGTTCAATAATTTTACATTGATTTTTGAATTAGATTAAAAATCCGTCTTTAAAAGTATCCTCCATCAAGCATGTAGCTTGGTCTATTCTCATGGTTATAAAATTTTTAGTGTTTAAATTTGAGTTGAGTTGGTAAATTCTGACTTTTTAGAAGGGCATGCAAATTCAAGTTGTTAGCTTTTTTACAATGAACCTCTTGCCTCTCCAAGAATGTGTACACAAGCTTATTATATTACTTTTCCACTTTTCCCATTGATTTTATTACTTATTATAGATATTAGAAGTGTACACAACCTTAACACGATACTTACAAATTGAAAGAAAGTAAATAAGAAGGAAAATCATTTGCCACAAATATAAGAGGAAATCTATTAATGCGCAAATTAGATGTGTTGTTAATTTTTTGCATAAATTAGTTGTGTTATTACTACTTTCACATAAATTAGCGGTGTTATCAACTTTTTCGTGTAAAATAACCATGTTGTCATTGCTTTAGAATTTAAGTTACTCAGTATAGTTGGTTGAGAATACTTAAAAATTCTATCTACATAATAAATCAAAAGGAATAGTAAAAAATAGGAATAAGGCAAGATGCAATGATCATCCACTAAATCGAACAACTTAAATCGATAAAAATAATAGAAAGTAGATTTAAAAAATAGGATCAAGGTAAGATGCAATGTTAGTTCACCAAATTCGAACAACTTGTTTCAAAATATAAAACATGATTATACCGTAATCATAACTCAACAGTCAACATTAATTGCAAATAAAATCAAAACAACTTGGACATTCTTGCCTTGGTGTCAAAGGTTTTCTACAATTTGATAGGCTGCAATTCATATTTTTTTCTCATTTTAATGTGCAACTTGCATTAAGGTTTTGCAATTAACCAAATATAGACAAGATGACCCAATGATATATACTGACTCATTTGCAAAAAAAAAAGGAAGACTTTTGCTTTAATAATAATCATTTCTATTATTGTATGAGCATGGCATGCATTCCAAGGTAACTCCACAACTTGCAGCACACATATTCAAGGTCTATGGTCCTCCAAATTATCATAATTTTCAACACTCGGAAGAGGACTTGGTCTGAGTGAAAGAACTTTCTATTTCATTAACCCCCCAGGATGTTGTGCTTTGTGTCATGTCCTATAGATAACTCAGTTACATAACCTAAAGTGAAGATTAATGTTGCCAATGTCATGCATTTTGCAATTTACTTAGATATATGTATACCAACTAGCAATCCTATGAACATGTTGGAAGTCCAACTCAATAACTATACAAGTGCTTGAAATCCTGGTTCTATCTTATTGAGAAAGCGTCGTTCGTAATGACATGAACAATCCAGATTTGAACTTTTTAAGATTACATCGGTATCTAAAAATTTTGTATTGATTTTGAATCAGATTTAAAATTGTCTTGAGAATTCTCAATTATACATGTAAGTCTACTCTCATGTTTATCAAAATTTCATTGTTTCAGCTTTATGAGTAAGTTATTTGATAAAAGAAAAATATTATGGGTAAGTTTTATGAGTTGAATTGGTAAATTCTAACGTTTGATAAGATCGAAAGAGTGTGTGTGTGTGTGCATTCTTTTTTCTTTTCCTTTTTCCTTTTCTAATTAATTTTATTATTAATTAGAGACGAGAACGTAACTAAGATTACACAACACTTACAATTTTGAAAGAAAATAAGAAGGGAAATCATTTTTTTCCATAAATATAAGAGAAAATATATGTTTTTAAGGCATAAATTAGCTCTGCATTATCGCTACTTTCAATAAATTAAAATCATTATTGCTACTTTGGCATAAATTAGCCACGTTATCGCTACTTTAAAGTTTAAGTCATTAAAAACAGTTAGTCGAGAGTAATCAAACAATATTACATTATAATCTATAAAAATAACAAAAATCAAAATAAAAAACAATAGAAATAAAGCAAGATGCAATGATCTCCCACCAAATTCATGCAATTTATTTAGAATTTGAAAATAGATTATACCGTAATCAGAACGCAATAACCAATATTAAAAAAAAAAAAATCAACACAACCCCGACATCCTTGCCTTGGTATCGAAGATATTCTACACTTTGATGGGCTGCATACATATATTTTTCTCATTTAATGTACAACTTGCATTAAGGTTTTGCAATTAACCAGAAGATAGACACGGTGCCCCAATGATATACTGACTCATTTGCAAAATTTGGCAGGCTTTTGCTTTAATAATAATAATTTCTATAATTGTACGAGCATTGCATGCATTCCAAGAAAACTAGCACAACTTGCAGCACACATTTTCATGGGCTATGATCCTTAACTTCCAACTCTCATGAGAGAGGGACTTGATGTGACTGCAAGAACTTGCTTTTAAATTAATCAGAATGTCATTGTGCTTAGTGTCATTTCCTATTGATAACTCAGTTCCATGCCCAAGAGTGAAGTCCTGAGCAATTCACAATCCAGATTCCAATTTCTCCTCTCCCATCTATCTCTGTCCCCGTAGAGCTAATAATCGAGTCAACAATTCTAGTTTGATTCATTTTGGATTCAGATTGAACTCTAAATGAATCGAACTTAAACAATTTTAGGCTCAGTTTGAACTCATAAAATTCAATTCGTTTATATGTAAAATAATCAAGTTATTTGGAGTGTAAAAAAATGAATTCAACAGACTCAATTCGA